TTATCGAACCCACCCTAGGACACTAGGGTGTGTTCCAGGACCCTTTGGAGATTCACCCTGCCCCCCCAGGGGCCAGAAGGGGTGAAATAGCCACCTTTTGGGGCTCTTCTGAAGCTTCCCAAGCCTCAAAAGAGCCCCCAAAAGTGGCAATTTTGCCCCCTCTGCCCCCCCGGGGGAGGCAGGGTGAGTCTCCAAAGGGTCCTAGAATGCACCCTAGGACCCTTTGGAGACTGACCCTGCCTCCCCTGGGGGCCAGAGGGGACGAAATTGCCACCTTTGGGGGCTCTTCTGAGGTTTGGGAAGCTTCAGAAGAGCCCCAAAAGGTGGCGATTTTGTCCCCTCTGGCCCCTGGGGGAGGCAGGGGGAGTCTCCAAAGCGTCCTGGAACACACCCTAGGACCCTAGAACCCTAGGGTGTGTTCCATAAGATGGACCTCTCCATAAGGCTCACCAAATTTTAGGAGAAGAAAGCAGATTATTTTTTTCCTGTTTTCTTCTCCTAAAAATTTGGTGCGCCTTATGGAAAGGTGCGTCTTATGGAGCGAAAAATACGGTAATATGGTTCATTATGGAATGAAGAATTTCATTGGAACCTTGAGAATACTCTTCGTACAACATAATAACAATATTACAAAAATATTGTAAATCCTTTTCTTAAAAAATATTTTTTATTTGAAGTAAGTGTAAAAAATATTTATTCCATCAGTTTCTCCATTATATCCAGTGATAGAGTTGGAGAAGAATAAAAAAAAAAATAAGGATAAAAGATTGGTTAAAACAAGTGGAGAACATAGATCAAATAAAAGTGTTAGGGATGGAGAGAATATCCTGGTTTAATCTTATCCAGTTGAATGAAAGAACGGTTAAAAACAAATGGTAAATGTAGGGAATTCATGAAATTTGAAGAAACTGTCTTATAAAAGGAAAATGCAAATGAAAATATAGGGTAATGAAAGGGATAGTAAGTAACATATGTAAAATATTATTGGAAACATACGTTCCGTAGGGTTTTCTTAAAACATTGTGGGAATATGATTTGTGATTTGGGAGAAGAAATGAGTACTGAGGTTTCGAATAAAATATGGGATACAAGAATATTGAACATGAACTTACATGAACCCTGTAAGGATAAAGGATTTTTTTAAGTTTGTTTGGTATTTAACTCTGGTGAATTAAATCAAATACATATTAATTATAAGTTTTGTTGCAGAGGAGGGTGCTTATTTTCATATGTGCTGGGAATGTGAAAATATATTTAAAATTTGGCAGTTGGTTTTCAAGGAAATAAAATTTATTTTTAAAATGTAAAAATTGGTTTAAAACATGCTTGGTTTGGTTTAAAGCTTCTTGGTTTTAAAGGTGTTTTGTTTAAAGGGTGTTCATTCCCTCCCTCCTTTCCTGCCCTTTTTTTAAAACCTAAGTCATTTTAGGTTAAAAAAAAATCTCCCCCTAATGGTAGAGAGTGGATTAATCAGTTTTGCATTAGTTACTATGGGGACTAATGCTGTAACTTAGAAACGGTGCCTCTACATAAGAACAAAAAACAGCCAGAACGGATTAATCGGTTTTCAGTGCATTCCTATGGGAAATGCTGATTCGACTTATGAACATTTTGACTTAACATCTTCTGGAACTGATTAAGTTCGTAAGTCGAAGGCACCACTTGTATGTTCCATAAATCCTGAGTTGCAGTCCACCTGGCTTAGTTAAATTAGTGATATTTTGGTGAAAATAATTCTGATCAAGAGATTCAACAGGTGAAAATCTGTTACAAATGGAGTAACATGCAGTTGGTTCTAGCTGATAGTTAAGAAATACCTACTGGGATTCTCTGCCACACAGCAAGATAGCTGGTAGGCGTGCAGCCCTAAGGATACCAGGCATTAAATGTCTCCTGGAAGTGACTGAATATGATGCTTGTTTACCTTCCACATGCACCTGTGTATGTTAAAATTGAGCTTAACATGTTGAACAACTTAATTTATATTTAATAAATTATATTTAATTAATCAAAATGCTTCTTTATATAACAGCTACTGAGGTGAAGGTTCCAAAACCCAGAGGGAGGCCCAAATTGGTAAAACCACCTTGTCCTCCTGAGAGTGACATGTAAGTTTATTGCTAAGCATTGTTTTCCCCCCACAGAAGATTAAGAATATATTGACCAAATTTCTATTGAGTTTTTGTACCAACATAATGAAATGGCTGGAAATTTTGGTGGCAAATTACCGCCATTGGAGAAGTCAGCATAGACGTTTGCTAGTGTGCAGTTTGACATAGTGAACAAGCAGATAACCACGCTGACTTAACTTGCAACTGTTCACATCAAGATTTACACTGACTGCATTTTGGTGGTGTGTATAACTAGTACGATTTTGGTCAGTAGGATAAACTAAAACATTGTACATTATATAGATATTATAATAAATTATACCGAATGAGTGATGTGACCTAGCTGTGCTTTGACAGGGCAAGAGTATTGCTCCTATTGTTTGCCCTTCATTTGTAAGTGGAGTTGCCCTGCCCTATATCTGCTTATATTTTCAGTTTATCACATTGTTAATAGTTCTTCAGCCGGGTTGCTATATGACCAAGGATTCTGTTTAAGGTTGTCTTTTCAAGGATAGCACAGGCCATTTAATTTCTAAGTTGTCTGCTGCCTTTTGCTCAGGGCTTGGAAAGTTAAATCTGAAGATTAATTAGTTAAACACTAGATGCTAGGAAGTTAATTGATTACTGCTAATGTTGAAAATCTCTAGCTTGTCCAAGTAATGTTATTAGCATGCTAATTAAACATTTGGTGTATCTCTGCAGAGTCAGTTTGATTTGCCCTTCCCCAAGGAAAAGGTTCTATATTTCTCATGCAAAATTATATTTATGCTAAATAGTTCAGTTTTGGCCTTATAAGTGTATTTGAATTTCAGCACTCAGAAGCCTTTACTATCTTTTTCAGTTTCTGAGAATTATAGTCCAAGACCATCAAGAGTCCCAGGGATGGAAACTTTTCTTTATTACAAAAAAGTAGTTGGCCAATTCCAGTTAGAATTCTTTAGCAGAACAATGTAGGAAGCTTTGACTTGGTTTGAGCATTGGTTGTAAACTCTTGATTTTTACTTCCAGACCACTATTGAGGTCATAGTGATAAATTCCTATTGTATCTGCAGTCTGTTCAAGGAACTTTCTGACAACAGGAGAAAATAGTGACTTCATAAAAATGAAATAAAAATGTAAAAGAAAGCGGGGAAAGGCAGTTGGTGCAACTAATGACTGCTTTTGTAAGTAAAATACCAATCAAGATTAGGGTCCACAAGTTTAGATTCTGGTTTATAAGCTAGGACAGGATCCTGGAGAATACCAAGGCTGGTCTGGTAGTTTGACAAGCAAAAGCAGTGGCTTCTGTAGTAAACTAGAGGCTCCTTCATGACATAAAGATAAAGTAACACCAAACCAATTTTCTTTCTTTTGAAAAAAGGACATTGGCAGAGTAGATCGTGAGTTTAGCAAGCTGTATCCTTTCGCTTGAAAATCCTGAGTAGGAGACTACTATAACTGATTTAGGTAAAGGTAAAGGTTCTCCTTGACATTTAGTCCAGTCATGTCTGACTCTGGGGCGTGGTGCTCATCCCCGTCTCCAAGCTGTAGAGCCAGCGTTTGTCCAAAGACAGTTTCCGTGGTCACATGGCCAGCGCGACTAGACACGGAATGCCGTTACCTTCCCACCATGGTGGTACCTATTTATCTACTTGCATTTACATGCTTTCAAACTGCTAGGTTGGCAGGAGCTGGGACAAGCGATGGGAGCTCACTCCGTTGCATGAATTCGATCTTAGGACTGCTTGGTCTTCTGACCTTGCAGCACAGAGGCTTCTGTGGTTTAACCTGCAGCACCACAACGTCCCAACTGATTTATTTTGAGATAAATGAGGCTTACTCAAATGGGTGTGTGTTGCATTCATTTCTGGTAAGCCTATGTTTCCACAGTCAGAGAAACCCTTAAACTTGTGTTGTATATTTTTTATATAATATATTCCTTCAGCCATCTGAAATACAGTGGTGCCTTGCTTAATGATTACCTTGTTAAACGACTAATCCGCTTTACAATGAAATTATTACGATCGGAAAATGATGTTCCTATGGGGAAAATTCGGGAACCGATTTTTCGCTAGATGACGATTTAAAACAACTGATTGGCGGCTCTAAAATGGCCGCCCGCTGTGCAGAATGGCTCCCCACTGTCTTTAGGGACGGATTCCTTGCTTTACAGGCACTGGAAAATGGCTGCCCTATGGAGGATCTTCGCAAAACAAGCAGGTATTTCACCCATTGGAACGCACTGAACCAGTTTTCAATGCATTTCAATGGGTTTTTTAATTTCGCTTGATGAGGATTTCGCTTAACAGCGATTTGAACGGAACGAATTATCCTCGTCAAGCGAGGCACCACTGTATATTCATTCAGCCAGGTTTCCCACTTCCTTCATGAGATAGGCAGATCTCTTATTGTAACTGCCGTCAGTGACTTTTAGAGAAGGGACAATACAAATCATCCCAGTTCATCCTTGGCAAGGGGCCCTGGCTTTTTGTTTTGGTCCAGATAATATAATTTGCCAAACATCTATAAGAGACTAAAGCCATTATTTTTTTCCTCATTGTTGGACAGTTTGTTGAACTGATTGTGGGAACAGAATTAATTAGTTGCTGTGACAATCAGTTCAACAAGACTGTCCAACAATGAGAAAAATAATGGCAATATTTTCTGTTAAAACATCTTATGGTATGATGCAGAAGTTGTTTAACTGAAAGTGGTAAATTGGCTCCTTTCAGAGCATTATTTCCCAATCATGGGTCCTTTTGGTCAGAGGCGGCCCCCAAATCCCGGTCCGTGGCCCAGTGCTGGTCCGTGGCCTGAGCCAGACCAGGCCATGGAGACAGACCTCGCCCCCACTGCCACACATACTCTTCCCCCACAGCCCCGTGCCTGCACCCACACAAGCGCTCCCGCACCCTTTTGCACATGTGCACGAGTGCCCCATGAGCACTGCCTTCACACATGCGCACGATCACCCATGAGAGAGAAAGCACTCCTTCGCACATGTACACAACCGCGTGGGGGTGCCCCACCTTCCCCAACTGGTCTGCGGGGTTAAAAAGGTTGGGGACCACTGCTCTTGATGATCTTGGACTGTAACATCCAGAAACCCAAAGAACATCGTAACTAAGACTCTTACATGTTCTAGTCCATGGCATAATTGGGCTACCTAATATGAACCTGGCTTTTATTACTATTTAAAATATTTTTACCCCGTCTTTCTCTTTAAGAAGGACCCAATGTGCCCTGTACATGTCAGTACAGGGCACCGACATGACCCTAGTGGTGGTGGTGGTAGTAGTAGTAGTAGTAGTAGGTGGCCCTAGTGAAGTACCACTTTCTCTATATAGTACAGTGGTGCCTCAACTTACAACAGTCCCTACTTATGACCATTTCAAGTTACGACCAGCTATGGCTGCAAACTTTTACTTTGACTTATGGCCGGAGCTTCATATTACAGCCAGGAAAAGACAGGGGGAAAAGGTGGGAAATTCAAACCGATGGTGGCGAAGAGGCTGCTTTTTTGTACAGTGGGGTCTCAACTTGCAAGCGACCCTACTTGCAAACAATTCAACTTGCGAACCCGCCCTAAGGACTTAACATACGAACTTCCCTTGAGTTACGTACATTAAAAAAGTGCCCCCTCCTTCCCCTTAGAGGCTTCTGGAGGGGAAAAAGGGTCAGAAACTTAAAAATAAATAAAAGAAAGTCACTTACCAGGCCTTGGTAGCCCCCAAACAGCAGGAAAAAGAGCAGGAAACAGCTAAAAGCTGACACCCAGAAGGGAGCCTGGCAGCCATTTTGTGACCCCCCCCCCCGCTCCTGCACCCTCCTCTCCCCACCTATCAGCTGATGGGCTGGCTCTGAAGAGGCTTGGGGAGGCTTGCTCAGCACCTTAAAAAGCCTTCCTGTGTGTCTTTGTGCTGAAAAAATCAGCACAACGTGCTTTAAAACATGATTTAAAATTGGCTTCGTTGAAAAAAAAGATTTCTAAAGTGCTTTGCAAACTGTTCCCTGCCTTCCTCCTCGTTTCCTGAACCTAAGGGGAAAAAAGAAAAAAAAATCCCCCTCTAGTGGCAGAAGGCGGAATAGCAGCTTCCCATTAGTTTCTATGGACAGAAAAGAGCAGATACAGATTAAATGGTTTTCAATGCATTCCTGTGAGAAATGCAGATTCGACCTAAGAACTTTTCGACCTAAGAACCACCTTCCAATACGGATTAAGTCCGTAAGTCGAGACCCCCCTGTAGCTCTTTTGCCCCAATGGCTAGGGAAAGGGATGCAGTAGTGGGGGGTTGGCGGTGGCGGAGGTGTTACCGCAACTGATGATGGGATCCTCCCTGGTCCTCGGCATGGGGGCAGAGGGGCCCCTGATCCCAGCTCCTGAAGGAAGGGTCCTCCCGCGCCGCCACCTCCACCTTCCTGGCGGGGAAGCGCCGTGAGAGGCTTTGCCAAGCCAAGCTGGGAGGACCCTTCTTCCAGGAGCCAGGATTGGGGGCCTCTCTGCCCCTGTGCCGAGGACTGGGACCCGGCGGCAGCATCAGCCCCACGGAGGGCATCGAGGAGCACCGAGGCCCGACACAATCACCCGGCGAGCAGCCTCTTTGCAACCAACAGTTTAAATCTGCCGCCTTTTCCCCCTGCCTTTTCTTGCTGCCTTCTGTGGGGCGTGGAGTATGGCAAGAAAAGGCAGCAAATTTAAAACGTTGGTGGCAAAGAGGCTGCTCGCCAGGGCGGCTGCGTTGCCCTCCACAGGCCATTGCTGGTGGTGGTGGTGGGGGTGGTGCCCGATGCCACCTCCCGCTCCAGAACCAGCACCGGCGGCTGCTCACCAGGGACCCAGCAGTGGCATTGGCCCGTGGAGGGCAGCGAGGAGCGATGAGGACCAATGTGGCCACAACTTGACATCCTTCTGAGTAGGTTGGTAGTTGGGAATTAGGAAAGAGGAAACTTTATCTATTTGCTTTTGTGTGATTTTAGTGTTCATGAGGAAGATAAGAGTAAGAAAAGGGGAGCTGAAGAAAAGCCACCCAAAAAACAACAGAAAAGGGATGAAGAAACTCAGAGGGAAGATGACAAAGCGAGAAAGGACCCAGACAAAAAAGAAAGCAAAAAAGAAGTTGAGACAAAAAGGAAAAACACTTCTAAAGTAGGATCAGCATCAGCCTCTGATTCTGAAGAAGATGGAGAAGAGCAGGAAGACAATAAAGTACGTCTGCATCTTATGGTTCTCCCATCCTTTTAGTACAGAAGAATTTATTTACATTTTGAACTACATTTTACACTTTTCAGGTGATCTTGTTATATAATAAGCTCATAGCAACTAATGTAATTTATGCTTACTTGGAAGATCAGAGATATGACCAAAATAGAAAAAGAAAAAAGATAAGTGTCTTGTTTGGCCTACTTATCATTGTTGAGAGTAGTCTCACAGACATGACGAAAGCTCTGAATGGATAATCTAGGCTGGTTATTGCAGCTCTTGCTGAAGTGTTTATGCTGAAGCATGCAGAAAGCCTTTGGGTCCCTGGAAAATAGGGGTGTTCCATATAATTCTGTTAAAGTAAAATGTGAGAACTGATTTTCATTTTAACAGAGTATGCTAATAGTGACTGATCGAAGTTATCCAGTGAGCTTCATAGTGTAAGGGATATTGGAACCTGGATTTCCATAGACTTTGTCCAACAATTCAACTACCACATGGGGACGGAGAGCTATTTTGACTCCAAGGATTGGATCCCCTCTCAACCAAGCCAACATCTGATCTAGCTCTTGGTTCCAGTTTCTTTGTAGACAGAGAAGGTTTCTTCATGTGTTCCTCACTGCGCATGACCTAAATCTGGCCTTCAAGGGAGTTTGTAGGAGACTTCTCTCTAGTGAATATAATACAGGGTTCTTCATAGTGGTTTCTGCAAATGCACACAAATGGGTTTATCCTGTGCTGTGCAGGATGTTCGGAAGATTCTAGAGCTGAGGAAAAAAGCGGCAATTAGTCCCCCCCCCCCCCCGGCAGGGTATGAGCTCTGCCTCCTTAACCTTCCTTTTAGTTTCCTCTTTTCTGCCATTTGAGTAGGACGTTAGGAACTAGAGTGCTAAGGAAAATGTTTTTAGCTTTGCTAAATCTATCTTTTTGAACCTTTTTTCTCTAATATTATTCTAGTTTTTTCAACTATAGAACCTCCAGTTGTTCTCTTTTTTTCGTTCTATCATTTCTCCCCTCCCTTCAATGGTTTTCCTCCCTTTTCTTTTTTGGTTTTATGACCCCTTGGGGCTTTAAGAAGTGCTCCGTTTGTCTTCAACAAATTCCACTTATAGACGGGCACAACCTCTGTTTATTTGTCTGAGGGAATTCTATCACAACATCGTGCACAGTGTGCAGGAGTTTTTCCAAGCAGACTATTAAGCTACAACTCCAACGACTGAGATCTTTTCTCTACGAGAAATCTCTGAAGCCTACCATGGAGGTTTCAGCCCTCCCTTCTTCAAACCCTCCTCACCAGGAGGCTGCTAAATCAGCTACTAGCCCTATTGACCAGTCTTTATCCAGCATGACTTATTTACCTGCTAAATCCAAGAACTCTAAAAAACCTCCTAAGCTAGTTTCCACCAAGGCTCAGCCGCAGTCTTATCAATCCTGCAAATAAGAAAAAGGACAAAGAAAAGCCTAAGAGGCAAAAGGAGTTAGCCAAACCAGCTGCCGCACCTCTTTCATACCTCCTATACCGGTGCAGGATTCTTTGATGGACGATATTGGGCTTTCCGACAGGGAGGAATGTGCCATACCTCCAGCCAAGCAAGCTCATATTCTGAGCATGTCTCCAAGTTCAGACCGATTTGGGGCTGTTGCACCGTCCAGCCTGGCCATACCCCCTTTCAGCCCTTGATCTTCAGGGCAGGTAGATACCGAGACTGAATCGGAATGGAAGTCTGCTCCATGCACTCATAGGAAAAGAAAGGAGAAAAGCAAACATGCCTCTCCATACCAGCCTTCTGGGCTTGAAGAGCAATATTGCCATCCAGAAGGTTTACCTCATTATGGTCATCCATATCCTGACCGATACCATCCCTATCCATATCAATGCTATGGCTACCATGATCAATACAGAGGGTCGGGCTGCCCGCTACCACCCTGGTACCCTTCCATAGCCCCTCCACTGCAAATGTTGCTGCAATACCAAGGGGATGTTTCCACCCCTCAAGCTGCACTATCCCGAAAGAGAGCGATGATGTTGGCGCCTTCTGCGCCTCCTAAACGACTCAAATTTCATAGGAGCCGCTCGTCGGTACAGGCTACCATGCTTTACACGGGTCCTCACAACCATGATACGGAACCTTTCTCTGTATCTACCCAATCGGATGCTGACCCTATACTGCCAGCCCCGATAGCATGACCACCACCATCGACTTCTCAAGTCATTTCATAGTGCCAACTCATCCTCATCTGATGACTCCGAAGCTCCTGATGCAGTTGCCACTGGCAATCTTTTGCAGTCTCCTCTGGAGGACTATACAGTGGGGTCTCGACTTACGAACTTAATCCGTATTGGAAGGCAGTTCTCAGGTCGAAAAGTTCTTAAGTCGAATCTGCATTTCCCATAGGAATGCATTGAAAACCATTTAATCCGTATCTGCTCTTTTCGTCCATAGAAACTAATGGGAAGCAGCTATTCCGCCTTCTGCCACTAGAGGGGGATATTTTTTCTTTTTTCCTTTTAACCTAAGATAACTTAGCTTTAAAAAAAAAGGAAAAAAAGAGTTCGTAACTCGAATCTAAGTTCGTAAGTCGAGTCCATATATTCCTATGAGAGCGGTTCGTAAGTTGAAACGTTCGTATGTCGGGCCGTTCATAAGTCGAGACCCCACTGTACGTCATATGTGCATCTTGTGCATGGCAAAGATACTAAAACTTGATGCACAAATTCCACAACAAGAACTGGACTTAGTCTTCCATGATGTGGAGCAGAACAAAACGCCTCCTCCTAGTTTGAGCCTTATACCTGCACTCCTTACTCTGGTGAAGAACTCTTGGGATAGGTCGCCTTCAACTCTCCCAAAAGATTGAACACCACCACCACAAAACTCATGGTTCAGACTTGGATATTCTAGTTAAGCATCCACTACAAGACTACTCAATACAAGTCTCGCAGCAGGTCTTCTACCACACCTGTGAATAAGGAGGGCAGAAAGATCTACTCCTTTGGTAAAAAACTTTACTCGTTGGCGGCACTACTTATTAGAATTTCAAACTACCAAGCTGCAGTGGGCACCTACAAAAAACATCTGTGGGACAGAATTCTCCCCACACTTCAAACCCTTTCAGAACCATTAAAGACTGAAGCTCTCAGCACCTATGCAGAGGCCAATACCCTCGCTAAGCAGCAAAGACAGACAGCGAAGCATACCACTGGCACCGCCTCCAAATCCCTGCTTACCTCAATAGCACTTAGACGACATGCTTGGCTTAGGGCGGCAAATATCCTAGATGATACCAAGATTGAAGATCTCCCCTTCGACGCTGCGGGGCTGTTCAACTCTAAAACAGACGACATAATGGAGTTCGTTCGTTCGTTTAGTCGTTTAGTCGTGTCCGACTCTTCGTGACCCCATGGACCAGAGCACGCCAGGCCCTCCTATCTTCCACTGCCTCCCGGAGTTGTGTCAAATTCATGTTGGTTGCTTCGCAGACACTGTCCAGCCATCTCATCCTCGGTCGTCCATAAAATGAAGAAGACAGCTAAGTCTTACATCCCATACCAACCCTATCAATATCAAAAACCTTCTTACAAGAAGCCGTTTTACCAACAATCCCTCAGCACCAGTCCTTTTGGTACAGCAAGCAACAGCACCATGAGTGGGCCTACCAGCCGCTTCAATCCAGTACGATGCAACCCAAGCAGCAGCAATATCAGGGCTCCAGACAGCCTTTTTGCAAATCCCAACGCAGGGGTAAGGCCTATTCCTAATTGCTCTGGTATTTTTACCAGACTCTGCCCATTCCTTCCCCAATGGAGGAAGATTACAACAGACAAATGGGTTTTGACCATCATTGAGCGGGGTTACTTGATAGAATTTTCGCAACACCCCCCCCCGGCAAATTCCATCAAGCCCACCCCCTTCTCCTTACCTTTACAAGAGGAAATTTCAGCTCTCCTCAGGAAAGGGGTGATAGTCATAATTCCGCCTTCTGATTCCAACGAAGGTTTTCTCTCTCAATACTTTGCAGTCCCTAAGAAGGATGGGGATATTAGACCCATCATGGACCTCCAACAGCTCAGTGAATATATACTTTACAAAAAATTCCATATGCCAACTCTTAACTCCATTCTCCCTCTTCTATCGTCGGGAAACTGGTTCACTACCATTGACCTGAAGGATGCTTATTTTCATATTTCAGTTCACCTGTCCCATCAAAGATTCCTCAGGTTCCAGTTCCAGCACACCACTTACCAGTTTGCCGCTCTCCCCTTCGGGGTCTCGACAGCCCCCAGGACGTTTACAAAATGCATGGCCCCAGTTGTGGCTTGCCTCTGTACCAAGGGAATAAAGTTCTTCCCGTACATCGACCATTGGCTCCTGGTTGCCAGGGCCTATCAAGATGCCAACACAGCCACGGGAACTACTCTTCAGGTCCTGCACAAATTAGGCCTACAAATAAATCAAGAAAAATCCCACCTGGTACCATCACAATCCGTGAGCTACATAGGAGTGCAACTGGACACCCGTCAGGCAAAAGCATTCTTACCACCTGAAAGAATAGCAAAAATCCGTCAGGCAGTACATCTTTTCTGACCTCTCAGAACCATCACCGCTCTCAGTGTTCAACACTTGCTGGGCCTCATGGCTTCCACAGCATCAGTGGCTCCTTATGCCAGACTCAAACTCCGTACATTTCAGTCCTGGTTCCTCTCACAAATCGATCCCGCAACAGATGCCCAGCTGAAAAAGCTCCTAGTACCGCCGAATGTGGCAGACCAATTCACATGGTGGGCCTGTGCCCCCAAATTGTCGGTCAGCAGACCATTCCAACCGTCTCCCCTGCCGATCCAGGTGACACCAGACGCCAGCCCCTCTGGATGGGGAGCTCACTGCCAGGAACTCCAGATACACGGACTATGGTCAAAGAGCGAAAGAACACTCCACATAAATCAGCTGGAAATGTTGGCCATCGTAAAAGCCTTTCAGGCTTTCCTCCCAAGGATCGAAGGGAAAACATTACAGCTTGTGACTGACAACACCACGGTCATGTACTACATAAACAGACCTCACCATAAAATTTTGGGAGTGGTGCCGCACCCACTGTATTTCCCCTCAATCAAACCATATTTCATAAGAGCATAACTACTTGGCAGACCGCCTAAGCAGGCTCCCTACCAGAATGCACGAATGGTCCCTCAAAGACACTGTCTTCCTGGACATCTGCCGCAGATGGGGCCAGCCTACAATAGACCTCTTTGCTTCCCCTCTCAATGCCAAGTGCCCCAAGTACTCCTCAAGAGCAGGCATAGATATGGCATCTCTCGGGGTACCATGGTCCAGAGAACTCACTTTCTTCTTCCCTCGGATACCAGTGTTGCTCAAGACAATGACCAGGATTATCCAATACCAAACAGATACGATTCTCATTGCCCCATGGTGGCTGCGACAACCGTGGTTCGCCCACCAGAGAGAGATAACACACAAACTATTCCACTTACCTGCAATACTGTCTCTCCTCTCCCAGAACAACGGGGCCATTCTCTATCCCAATGTCTATCCCTACATCTGACGGTGTGGAGGATAAGCCCAGACTCTGTGCAATCCTGAATCAGGCTCGGAAACCATCCATTTCTCACCTGTATCGCAACAAATGGAAATCTTTCTTAAAATTCACTGAATTTAAGGAATTTACCCCAGTCCCATCATCTCTCTTGACTTTACTTACCTTTGTCATGTATCTCTTTAACCTTGGACTGGCACATTCCACCATTAAAGTTTACATCGCAGCAATAGTAGCTCACCAACCCCTCGGATCGAGCTCCGCTGAACTTTTTCCCACCCCACGCTCAAGAGATACCTCAGGGGCTTAAAGAATATTCGCCCCCCCCCATCACAGAAAATTGTGCCTCAATGGTTGCTGCAGCTCATTCTTGAGGTACTCACAAAGTCGCCATTTGAACCAATGGCAACCTGTAACGAAAAGTTACTCTCTCTTAAGGTGGCATTTCTCGTGGCGATTACATCGGCTCGGAGAGCTAGTGAGCTGGCTGCTCTCAGATTGGACTCTCCAGGTTAGGGTGACCTACCCTGAGAAGGTCACCCTGTACCTAGATGTGTCCTTCCTACCCAAGGTGGTGTCGGAATTCCATGTAAACCAACCCATCATACTTCCGTCCCTATTTCCGTCTCCATCCACACCAATTGAGCGTAAACTCCATACTCTGGATGTGAGAAGAGCCATTGCCTTCTACCTGCACAGGACCAAGACCTTTAGAACATTCCCCATGTGTCTTTTTGTGCTATCATGGCACCAACAGGGGTGCACTTGCCTCTCCACAAACAATATCAAGATAGGTAGTGCAATCAATACAATTGGCATATCAACTTGCAGGCAAGCCGGTACTGGGCCATCTTAAAGCACATTCTACCCGAGCTATCTCTACATCGACCGCTCTACATCACGGCATTCAGATACAGAACATCTGCAAAGCGGCTACTTGGTCCAACCCTCTGACATTTGCCAAGCACTACCACCTCAATGTCAGAGCCAAGAATGATGCCGCATTTGGAAGGGTGATTCTGTCATCTCTGTTACTATGACGGTCCTCCATCCGGTGAGTCAGCTTGCTAATCACCCATTTGTGTGCATTCAGAGGCCACTACGAAGACAGTTAGGTTACTTACCTGTAACCATGGTTCTTCTAGTGGACCTCTGTGAATTCACTCATCCCTCCCGTCCTCCCCGCTGTCTGTCACGGTACTGTTCTATTTACAGTCAACCCTCGACTTCCGAACATCCCTATATACGGACTTTTCAATTTACGAACAGCTCCGTTAGCAAAAATTGGCATCGACTTGCGAACGGAACTCGACCTACGAACGAGGGCGAGGCTCTGTTCACAAGTCAATGCCATTTTTTGTCCCCGGAGCCGTTCGTAAATGGCTCCCTGCAAAAAGGCAGGGAGAAAGGGCTGGAAATTTGAATTATTAAATATTAATTTCTGTTATTATCTGTTGTCAGGTTAGTTCTACAGCCTTAGTATAGTTTTTCATGTATGTGAGATGTCTAGGGAGTGGTTGAGCATTGTCACCCCCAGTATCTTTCTGCTCCCAAGCAGGAATTTGAACCCAGGTCTCTGTGTCCAATATTCTATCCATCATACCATGTTGGTTTTCAGGTGCTGAATTGTCAGTTCCCTATTAATTCAGTTTAATTAGGGCCCACATTAGTTGGAATAATAACAACTTGTCTGTTAAGACACTACAAATGTAGATATGGAACAGTTAACATTCCCTTACGAAAAATATTGTTTTCCTTCTGTACAAAATCAAAATGAAATAGAAGAAAAAAGGAAGAAATCTTCAGGGGCCTCATAAAAGGAATATTTTGAAAACCCAACATGAACGTGAAGTAGCAGAGAGAAAACATAAGCAGGAAGAGCAAATGGAAGGAGAGTTGTGAGTATAACATAAATGTTTGGTAAATATTGAATAGTTATAGAATTAATACAGTAAAATAAAAGAAAGATACCTTCAGTCATGCTTCTTGGTGTATTTGCTAATATACAGTCTGTATGTGAAATGTGTCTTGTCAATATTCTTTTGATGACAGTATTAGCTGAAAAACAACAATGTACTTTGTTGATTAGTGAAATGAGGTATATTGCCAGAACAATGAGAAACACCTCCCAGGGAATCAGGACTGATCTGAACAAAAACATGGACCAAACCCTTGTGTTTTTTTTTAACCAAATGTCTATGGTAGACTCTTACTATTAATGAGAATTTCAGTACATACAACCAGTATCTGGAAGAACATCTGTTAACTTGCTTTGTATCACTTTACAGATTGATCAAAATCTGATTGTTAAATCTTACCACCTGGTTTACCAGTTCAGATATGCTAAATAATTTACTGTATAAACCTGAATTCAAATGTTGCTCTGAATTCAAATGTTCAGTCAGAGCTGAACCCTGGCTGCAACTGAACAAAATAAATAGAATGGTTTCACTCCATGAGAAGTGATGCATTCAATAGTTGAATAAGGGACTATGAAACCAGGCATGTACCAGGACAGAGGAAGTATTAGAAGGAAAACGGAAGTGCCAGTATGAAGTCCAGTGTAACATTTGCATTTTTATTACAATTAATTTTATTACAATGTGAAGGGAGGGTCTGTGGATTATGTTATAATATACTGTAGTGGCTAAAATCCTTTTGTTCTTCTTTGTGGTCTTTGTGAAATCACAAATGGGTTTGCTATCTGCTTGCATGAACATCCTTGAAATCTTCCAGAGCAGTGATTCCCAGCTTTGGGTCTCCATATGTTCTTGGACTATATCTCTCAGATATCCTAGCCAGCACATCCAATGATGAAGGCTTCTGGGGGTTTTAGTCCAAAAACATCTGGGGACCCAAGTGTGGGAACTTAGGGCCTAAAGAATTGTTGCAACACTTCCTCTTTGCCGTGCATGCTCCCCACCCTGAGGGTAGTTCTCAGTTTCCTTTTTGCTGCCACTGAGAAAACACCTCAGGAGTTTTCCTCAGTGCCTACTGTCATAGCATCCCTTCAAAATCATCTGTATATAGTTGCCTTTTAGCTTCCTTTCCTGCCATCTTCTCTTCGTCATTCCTACCAAAACAAACACTCCTAACCTCCAGTCTGAGGACAGACCTTCCACTTCCAAGTAATTGAAACGGACACCATTAATGCAAAAAGGGAAGAAGAAATCTACTCTCGGTCAGAAAGGATAACCAACATACCCAAGGGTGAAACACCTGCTTAGATCACCGCCACCATCTCTTGCCCTATATCAAGGGCCCAAATAAGTGCCATTTGGAGTAAGGTGACCCATTTTGCCCTGGCTAAGCATGGAAGGGAGAGATATCCCAAGATTGGACATCATTCCAGGCCTTTAGCTGTTCACCCAGGTGGAACCATTTCATCCAGTAAGCCTTGAACAAGCTTTCCTCACCCTGTCACAGCCCCAGGGCTGCGTCTGCAGAGAAATCACACACTTTTTCTTCATGGCCTCTGTGAATCACACTCTGGGTGATCCACGCATATACGGAGCTTTATTAAACTAATGTTTCATTTAATGAGGCGCATTAGTTTAAGCCCACCCCCTCCCTCCACTACATGTACCTTGGCGCAAGTGCTCTCCCTTCAGTTTCTCTTCAACTGCTGTGTTGAGAGCCTTGTTGCTGCTCTGTAGCTTCTGTGAGTCTCCTCCCCCTCCCCCAAAAAAGAATTTTTAAAATTTTCTTTTACCCCCCTTTTAACTATAGTTAATGGCCTCTTCAGACCCGAGTACATATTGTATAGTCTCCAACAGCCACACTATTCTGCCTCAGAGAGGCTCATCAAACCCCTCCTCCTGCCCCCACTGCAAGAACTTCCGGCATACTCTCCTTTCTAGGCTTAGGCTTCGGCTTTGGGAAGAAGCTCTTCAGCCAGTCACTCTGCAAATTGGTGCCACAGACTAGAGCCATGGACAGAGCCATCTCTGAGACAGCGAAGCAACATCCATCAGCCACCCCTTCCTGTACTGAAGAACAGAGAGTTCCTTTGACATCAACATTGGACCTATCTCCTGGCTCCCAACCTCCTAGGGTCAAACTTTTGACTATAGTTTCAATGTCCTCAACATCAAAGCCTTCATTAGCCAAACAGAAAGCATTGACCGACCAAACCTCTGTCTCTGCCCAAGAAGGCCAAGTCTAAACTCTCCAAGGCCATATCCAGACATGTATAAAACAATGTGCAGTGTAAAGGTAGAAATCATGGACAGTTGAGATCACTATGGCGAACCCAACAGACTGTTAGGTTGGCATGGCTGGGGGATAATAAGTTCTGTCTGATCCAGGACCTCATTGAGGAAGAGAATGCAGACCTGCATATATCATGGAGACCTGGGTGGGTGATCTGAGAGGGGTGGCTCTCAGATGTGCCCCCCCAGGTTATACCATGCAGCATCAGGGCAGATGGGGGAGAGGGACACAGTAGTCTACAGAGACTATACATGCCAGTACAACTGCCTCAGTTTCAAGCCCAGGCCTAGAGTGTTTGCAGCTGACTGTGGGGCATAGGGATAGATTTGGAATGGTGCTGGTTTACTGTTTGTCCCGTGACCCAGCAGTATCCCTGCCAGGGCTGGCCAAATTAATTTCGGCCGTGATGTTGAGGTCACCCAGACTCTTGATAGCCGTGGATTTCAACATCCATGCTGAATTAGAACTATCTGGGCTGGCCATGGAGTGCATGGGTGCCATGACAGCCATGAACCTATACCAAAATGTTATCTGCCTTACACATTCAGCTGGCCACACTCTAGGATCTGGCATTCTCGACTGCAAAGGTGGATAGTGATCTGAGGATAGGCACTATGAACTCCCACCCTCTGTCATGGACGGATCAATTCAACTCGTCTACTGCGAACCCCCGCTGTGGGGCGAACAGACCTGTGAAAATGGTCCATCTTCGCAAGCTTCTTGACCCAGAACAGTTCCAAGAGGCTCTGGGAAGGCTTCTGGCTGACCTGATAGAGGACCCTGTCAAAGCCAAGGTCGATAGATGGTATCTGGAGATGACTCGGTTGGCTGACATGATCACCCTCTCCACTCCAGAGCTCACACTGCTCCTTGGTATACTGATGTTATCAAGGAGACAGCTAGAGAGCAGGTGGAGAAGAGATCGGTTGGCACAAAATAGGGCTGCAGTCAGAACTGGCCAATCAATATGCTAATGCCCTTCAATAGGCAAGAAAGGCTTTTAACATCCAGAGAGTTGGTGAAGGCTGAGAACCGACAAGCGGAATTGTTCTAGGTGTTCCACGACCTTACCAATTCTGGCCATTCAAGACCTTGTTTTGAGTTCACCAGCAATCTGTTTGCAGCCTTTTTTAGAACAAAAATCAAGGCTATTCGTACTGACCTTGACTCCACCAGCAATTTAGCTGATCCAGGAGTGGCCATTGCTGCCCCATTGCTCATTGGTTCAGTTTGACCATGTAGTAAAGGAGGAAGCCTCCAGGGTGATGGCTATCTGTAGGCCCACTGCCTCCTCGCTGGATCCGTGCCCAAGGTGGCTGATCAGAGCCATAAAGGGGGCTATGATTGATTGGATCATAAATATTATTAATTCATCATTGAGAGAGGGAATGCTTACCTCCTGCTTAAAAGAAACTATAATGAGACCCATCATCAAACACCCCCAGTTAGTGTTGGACTAACTTAACAATTTCCATCTGATTGCTAACATACCATTCCTGGGCAAGATGATCGAGAGGGTGGTGGCCAATTAGCTGCAGTCATGCCTGGTGAAGCAGGATTAGCTTGACCCAACCAGTCTGGATTCAGGCTGCGATGGGGTACTGAGACGACATTGGTCACACTGCAGGATGACTTTTTAAGGGAAGCTGATGGACAGATGCACCCTGTTGGTACGCCTAGATCTCTCAGCAGCTTTTGATACTGTTGACCCACATACCCTCCTGGACCGTTGACCACAGTATCCTCCTGGACAAGCTCTCTGAGGTTGGGTTTGGGGGCTTAGCCTTGAACTGGCTCCGATGCTTCCTTGAGAACCATGTCCAGAGAGTTCAGCTAGGGGAAGAGGTGTCAGTATCTTGAACCATTCAGTATGGGGTTTCCCAGGGGTCGGCACTGTGACGATTGCCCCACGTCACTCCTGTCACTCATATTCAGGATCTTATTTGCATGAGCCAATGAGAGGAGTGGAGGGGTGGAGTCAGTGGGTATAAGAAGGTTTTTGCAGAGAAGATGAGTGAGATACAGAATTTGCAGAGAGAGAGATAGGGAGACTGTGAGAACAGATCCTAATAGAGATAAGCTGGTCAAGGTTAATAGAGCAGGTGGTGATTGGTTATGTGGCAATATATATGATATTTTAGTGATTTGATTCTATGCACTGAATGAAGAACATCGGTGATTCTGATTTAATTTAATACACTTCAATAAATAAGTTCTGTTGACAGTAACCAGACAAGTGTCTGACTAAAGTTCTTTATATTGTGGATAAAGGAAATCCACTGGTGGCAGTGAGGAAAAGAGAGAACGTCTCAATTGTTATCTGCAGGTGGGATGACATAGCGTGAGCCCTTAGTTTGTTGCGAAGCAAGCAGGGGCCATGTCGTAAAAATCACAAGCACTATCTCCAATGCTGTTTAATATCCATGTCAAGCCGTTAGGGGAAGTCATCAGGAGTTTTGGAGTACTGTATTTTTCTGTTTATAAGATGACCCAATGTATAAGACGACCCCCCCCCCTTTTCTAACCCCCAGATTTGAAAATTTGTACGCTCACATCCCTTTGGTCCTGAAGCCCTTTCATGGCAGCTTCAGAATCAGAGGGGTCCAAGTGTGCCGCCATTTCACGGCTGCTTTACCCTGTGGCTTCTCAAAAGGCAGGGAAAGCGGCTGCCTTCCATGTATAAAAC